TTGCCAATGTTCCCTGGATCCTGTTGCAAGCTTTCTCAGCTTCTGCTTGTTCTGTGACATTTCTCATGATGAATCTGTAGTGTTTGCCATCTGCCATCTTCCTCCATTTGGTGCTCTTTCTACACAGGATATTACAAGCAACCATCTCTTTGCAGGGGACATCATTCCAGGTGTATCGTCCAACAGGCTCATTCATGTTGACACAATCACCATCAGGTTGTGATGGTTCACCAGGGGTCCAGTGCTGGTTCACATCAGTACTAACAGTTAAAAACATTGAAGTCATAGCTCCTGAGCTGAACTCATGTCCTGTGTGCAAAAGCAAGACATTATTAGTTGCCTGACATGAAACTCAGTTTTTTTTTTCAAATTAGGGTTTGATGAAGCAAGTGTTACCATCATAAGTGACATAGGTTTTTGAAAATGGCTCATATGAGTAGATGCCAATGCGTATGGGGTAGTTTAATGACATCAAGAAGGCATTCAGCATGTGGTAAACATTGTTGGGATAAGGAACTGCCAAAGTCCCCTCCTCAGCTTGACACAAAGCAATGGACTCTGAAGTTTTCCCCACTTGAGGCAACAACTTGTAAAAGTCCCCATCTGACAACAAAGTGTAACCAGTGACATCTATGTCCAGAGCTGCTGTGTGGAAGACAGTGGATCTTTGATATACTCTTTACTTCAACATGGCCCCTCAAACTCACGCATGTAGAGCCTGGATGCACTGTGTTCAGTCCAAGTGAGGTTTTTGATGGCAATTCTGCATTCCAAATAAGCCAGGTTCTTTGGTGTGATGCTGAAGGACAGGCAGTCATCTCTGATATGACACATGATGGCACATTCTTTCACTGACTGGGTTTTCATGGTGATGTTGGGGTTTGAGATGAGAGAGTTTGAGTAGAAACTGAATTGCATTGATGATGATAAATTTATAAAGGATGCCATGCAGCAGACAATGAGCTCAAATACTTCCATGATGTGTTTGCACTAGCACCAAGCAACCTTTTCTGCTGCATGTACCCTAGAATCAGTAGCAAATATTGATTCTGGTACAGGTGCTTCTTCGCATTAGTGGAAAGGTCACATGGAACATAAAAAACTTGGTGCACTGGTGACATCAGGAATTATTCCCAGAGCTTTATAGAAAACCTGTATAATTATTGCCTAAATAGAAATCTGTGGAAAGACAGTGATTCACTGTATGTGTTTTCTTTGACCATACAATCATCCCTGGAAAGTTGGTCCTCAGTGGTCATTAGTTGGTTCATCAAATTCAGATATTTCCTATTTACATCAATTAATAAACAGGTTGAAATACTTTTTATCTTTGATACATAAAATTGAATATTAGGCTGAAAATTGTAGCTTGATTAGAATATTCATTGAATAAAAAAGTTGCTTCTATATTGATACATTTCATCTTCTTGAAACAGGAGACAAATGTGTTGGATTTATTTGCATTTCCCTGTTTCTCAATGCTGACTTTAATACTGGGAAGGTTTCTTGTCTTTTGAAAATATGAAATTAGCTGAGAATAAAAAACTTTAAAAATCAGCATCACAGAGAATTTTTGGGACTCAAATTTTGTGCCAACTGGAGGAATGCTGAAAATGAGTCTTCTCATTAGATAACTACCATTAGCAGACATAATGCTTCAAATACTGTGTCACTAATGTAACTCAGTTGATTCTTTATGAAGAATAAATTTCAAGTTACTCACATAAAATGCATTCAAATAAGTACACAACTGGCCAGTTCATGATGTATAATGTTTATTCAGTCTTTTCTGGATAAAAAAAAAACAATATTCGATTGCCATATGTCATGACTGTGTGCCATATGTGCAGGCAATTTCTGCCAAAACTATGAGTGCAATTTACATAACTGGATTTTACACTTGATTAAAATGGTATTTGATTCTCTAAATTTCTGGCTTTTCACACAATGCTCTTGGAGGTGGAAATCTATTTGCACACATGAAGTCTCTGAAACCATCCTTCCCCATTGCAACACAATTCTCCACATTGTTGAAGGTACCTTCTGTGATGCTGCTCCAGTGTTGAGCAGGATCATTTGTTCTGTTGGCTGCATTGAAGGTCTCTCCTGTGGAAAAATAGGAATATAGATATGATAAAAAATTTGAATTCTACCCTGATGCCTCAAATCATGAGCATCATAAGCAACCATGGGCCATATAGATTTAAAAAAGGCTCACACAAAGATATGATGTTTGCATGCAATTTTGAATTTACCCATCTGTGTCCTCTGTGAGAAAATTTTCTGTCCAAAAGCATAGATACAGTCAAAGTACAAAATGAGCATCAGAATTGTTATCTCAAATCATTGGAAAGAATGCATTTTGATGCCTAAGGTATTCTGGGCTACAATGGAATCTTAAAAGGAGTTGTGCATTAAGCGCGCTGACTGAGTTAACTTAGAATAAGTAACTTCCACATGTGGTTGTCATAACAATATGACTACAGTATGTAAACCATTCATGGTTTGAAGCATCAGCAGAGGTGCAGATCATCAGCACTATACATGTTGATAGTGTATACCATTTGGCATGACCCATAAGGTCTCAGTAACATTATCAGTCCCAGCAATCCACATGGTGCCAATGACCCTGGTTTGCATCCTAAAGCCCTCCACAAGTGCATAACCATCCACATTGAACATGTTTGCCAGTGAGGCACCATCTTGACTGCAAGCTTCAGCAGCAGCACTCTGGTTCTGGTAACCCTTCAGCAGCACCCTGTAGAACTTCCCATTGGGGAACCTTTTGTATGCCAGAGTTTTAACACAAAGAGCTGCTTTGGTTTTTAGGGGACTGAAACAACTGTTCAATTCCCATGTGTACACATTTGTTCTGGATGCTTTCATCTGAGCACAACTGTAGTCAGAGGAGAAATTGGTAGCTGGGTCCCACTTTTGATTTGGGTCAGACTGGTTTCCTGGGTAAATCTCATCACCTGCAAGCATATGACATAATTTTCAAATGAGTATTTTTCCATAATTTTATTAGTGAATAGCATGCTTTTTAAAATACACACCATCAAAAGTCAACCACTTCCCAGAAGTGTCATTATAGAAATAGATGCCTAAAGGAATCTGCAACCCCATGTTTGTCATTTTGGTTGTGATGACATCATGGAAGGCTGATGGATAAGGAACTGGTAAAGTAGCTTCCAAATGTTTGCACTCAACCTCTGCACTGGCAGTTGTGTAATTCCCTGGCAACAGTTGGTAGAATTTGCCATCATTTTCCAATGTGAACCCAGTGATATCTATATTTGTAATCACTGTCAAAACACTGGAGATATAATAACGGTTGTGATTTTCATCAGCTGTAGTTTCCTACCCATGAAAAGGGTTCCATTTGAAGAATCCAAGAGGGATAAATCATCCTGAGAAAGTTTGCAAATCAAAGGTTCAGTCCCTTCTGATGTGGGTTGTACACTAAATGCCATGCAATATGTTGTTTGTGTGCAAATAACTGCACAATGGATACATGAGCCTACACGCTCTTCCCTGAAAGGCTTTGCCAAAACTTTTTGCTTAAAACTTTGATAAACTTCATCTCCCTGGACAATAGCCATGAATTGTAGAAGCATAGCAGTAATAGTCAAGACAGCCATTTTTTTTAGGGTCACTTGATCAATGAAAAGCCAGGAAACAACTGAGACCTTGCTGTGTTTGACCATGTGCTTGTTTCACAGGGTTTTTTGTTGCCCATTATTTGCCACATGGTTCCAGTAATGATGTGGTCTTTTAAAAAGAAAGTGCAAATATATGTGAGAATTTAACTTTACTGTACTCAGAAAAGAGGCTATGCTGAAAAATGCACATTTGTGCACATTTTTTTTATATTCCAGTGTTGTTTTTCACTAACAGAATTTTTTCCCTCAGTTCAATTTTTGTAGAAATTCCTGGATTTGAATCAATGACAGAAATTTAGGAAGACTTTCAGAAATGCATCTTTTGTTGAACTTTTTTCATGCTTCTAGAATTTCTTGCTTGAAAGTTTCCTAATTTTTCTCCTGATCTTTACAAAACAATTCAACAATAAATACAGCTTATATTAAATTTTAATGAGTAATCTTCCTATCTTGTTTGAAATTTTTCAATCTTGGAAAATTAAAGATGTCCATGGCCCACCATATTGTGCATTTTATGCTTAAATGGTTCCTTGGTCCAAAGTCACAGATTCTTTTTTTAGCCAATATACTGTAACACTGTACTTTTGTATTAATGAATTGTATAAAAAATTTCAACTCATATGTGAATATCTTTCTTTTATTCCTATAAAAGACAGTGTCAATTTTTCTATTTATGATGTAGATTTAGAGATAGAATCATCAAAATAGTCCTAATTTTTCTTTGTCAGCCTGGGTATGTGGTAATAACTTAGGGATACCCCTAAAGGAAAATACACATTTACATGTATTTATTTGATCTTAGCTCATTTTTTGCCCAGGAAAATAATTATTTTGAAGCAGTATATATAAGTGAGTTTGCTCTAAAGCTCAGGGAACACAATTGTGGGTTATTCATTCCACAGCAGAAACCTTGGACACAACTATGCAAGGGTGGCACTAAATCATTAGTATCCTTACATTTTGAAAATTGCAATAAGTTCAAGAAGCTCAGCGCTGTAAGAAAAAGCAAGAATATTGGTGGATAGAAATTTATAAAATGAAAATGATTCTTCTGAGCGTGAGTCAATCCATTCTTACCAAATATGCAAGGATGTAGACTTGAAAGACAATTAATGGATGTGTCTTGAGGTGAGCCAAAGTAATTTGTGGTGACATTATCTGAGAGTGACATCTAGCAATGCTCCTCAGCATTTTGCTGGCAAAGATTGGGAACGTTTTGGAGGGAGAGAGCTTCCTTTAATGGCACCTTGTAAGGAATTATAATTTCAACCTAAGATGTTTTAGGAATGAATTTAAAAATTTCTATTCAACAATTAATGTGATATTATGCATAATTTTTGTAATATGTGTATCAATTCAGGAATAACATTGTTTTGATTTCCTATCATTCACATGAAAGCAAGCTATAAGAGTTGAAATGTAGGCTATTCAATTGAATGTTGGAATAAGTCCTACTTCCATGCATACACATATGGCTCATTTTTACTATGCTGCAAATGCTGGAAAAATGTGAACTGGAAGCCTGTTTTTATTCATGGGCAGAATATTGACTGAATTTCTTTGGAATATGGCTGGTTGAAAATTGTAAATACTGCAAAGTATGTGATGGCTAAGTGTGTGTTTATATAGACATGTTTTTTAATGGATTTGTACATTTAGCAAACATTGTAATACAGTATATACAGTATCTCAAAACTTTCAGTATACCTACAATTTTGTCTACATCTGAAAAAACCTTGAAAAAATTTTTCTAGGCATATTATCATTGTGAGATTTAATGTTTAGCATGTTGGAGATATTATTTATTTTCAAGTTTTTGGAAGGATTTATCAAAGCCTGAGAAAGCCTTTTATTCAAAACAGTTTTAAAGTACAGTATTCCATGGAGCTCAGAAATCCTCATCACAAGGCTTTGAATGTTATCTGAATTCACTTCCATGAAACTAATGATTATGTATATCTCATTATTGTCAACCTGAAAGTTTATTCAGGGATGATTTTTGCTTTCATTTTTCCATTCCTGTTCAAATTATCAATTCTGAAGTTTATTGATCAAGACAGGGCTTCTTTTCTGCATGCTGTGACCTTTTCACAGACTTTTGAATGTAGCTGTGTCATGATGAGCTTGCATGATGCCCTGGCATTCAGAATCTCCTTTGCAGATGGATGTTCATTGTAGACTCTTCTTCTGAAGAGAACAGTTCCTTGTTTTCTTGACAGGAAATGGTGCTTGAAAACTGGGCTTGCCTTGCAGGCCTAACTGTGTTGGCATACTTGGTCTACTGGGTTTTGAAACCAGTTTTAAAAGCAGTGTATTTAGCAATTTCCTGCCCACTGTTCTCAGCAACAGCACTCAATGGGGAAGAAGGTCCTTATCCCACTGAGAAAGAAAAGGATGAGGTATTAAATAAAAGTGAGTCAAAGAAAATTTCATTGTTAATCTGAAAAGTGATGTGCCAAATATTTCATTGGATTTTTGCCCATCAAGGTTTCAAACCTGAAAGAGTGCCTCAGAATCTTGATGCAATTGTGATTGGCAGTGGACCATCAGGTTTGACTGCTGCACATTTCTTGGCCAGGGCTGGCAGAAAGGTGTTGGTGCTGGAGCAGCATGACACAGTATGTGAATTCTTGATGTTTTTTTTCCAAATGGGCACAGTGTTCAAGCTGTATTTTCATTTCAAGGTTGGAGGAACCTTACACACATTTGTAGAGCATGGGTATGAATTTGACACTGGACTTCACATATCTTTTGAAGTTGGAGAGGAGCATTACTTTGGTGTTATCATGAAGCAATTGACTGGGGGGAAAGTTAAATTTCTCTCCACTAGTAAGTACAGATAATTTGATATTTATTTTCAAATATTGTACCATAAACAATTTATTCAAACAGATGGATTCAAGGATGAGATTGTCATTGGTTCCCACAAATACCCAAAGAAAGGTGTGAGGAAGTACTTTTTTCCCCCAGAATCTGTTGATGAATGGCAGCAGAGAATGCTGAAATATTTTCCTGGAGAAGATAAGCTTATGAAGAGGTGAAAAATCTCTCTTTTTCTCTCTAAAACTGAACTCTTCAATCAAAGTCAAAATTTCAACATGAACTTACTTTTTTTGCAGTTTGTCAAAAGATGTAAAATGGAGTCTCATAGCTTTCATGCCTTTTGTGCTTGTCAAACTTCTTCCTGAATGGCTGGCTATGTTGCTGATTAAGCTCAAGGTCTTTGACATTTTCACATCATACCCCAAACAAAACAGTATTTCAACAGAAGAAAAATTTCAGGTGGGTGACAAACTATTCTCTGAAAGGGTTTTCCTAATGTATCTCAAGTTAATTTTCACAGGAAGTGGCTGAAAGACATCCTGACATGCCCCTCCTTCTCAACCCTTTCAACTTGGATCTGAATGTCAGCTGTGATGATTTCCCATATGCAGTTTGGGCTGTTACCCAAAAAGCTTACCTTGATGGTATAGTGATGAAGTTTATAATCATAATCCTGTGCATGTGAATTGAGTTTCATTGGATTTATCATTTGGCCAGGAACATTTTATCCCAGAGGTGGCACATCACAGCTTTTGTATTATGCTGCAAAGAGTGTGAAAGATGCTGGATCTGAGATTCTTGTGAGAGCAAATGTTACAAAGATCATTACAAAGGATCAAAGAGCTATTGGGGTCAGCGTGCAAAAGGGATCCACCACTATGGACTTGTATGCACCCATAATCATTTCTTCAGCTGGTCTGTGCTAACAGAAAACATTTCCAGTCATAATTATAATTATTTTTAAAGCATTTTTTGGCAACAGGTGTTGATGTTACATTCAACCAACTACTTCCAAGATCAATCAGAGATTCATCCAGATGGTACAAGAATGCCAAGCCATTCCTAAATGAACCAAGTGGTTATTTTCAGCTGTTTGTTGGGCTCAACAGAGAAGCACATGAGCTCAACCTACCCTGGCAAACAATTAGGACATTTTCCAGTGACAAACCAGTTGGAGAGGTAAATTTCTCTGTTTGTGAAGGTTTTATTTTTCTATATAAATGATCATATATTCTTCAGGTTTACAAAGAGTATTTGTCATTGCCTCTGGAAGAAGCCCTTGAAGTGGACATTCCATTTTTGGCCATCTTCTTCTCATCAGCAAAAGACCCTACTTACAATGACAGACATCCAGGTCCACTTTTTGTCTCAAATATTTGTCTTGTGAAACCAGAATGAATATGTGATGAGTATTTCCTATAGGAAAGGCAACAGTGGAAATTTTTGGTGTGGCCAACAATGACTGGTTCAAGCAATGGCAAAACTTGCCATTGAAGAAGAGAGGAGATGAATATGATGGACTGAAAAAGGCATTTGGTCAGAAAATTCTGGATAAAACCTTGGAGCTTTATCCTGAACTCAAGGTTTACCAAATGTCCAAACTTCATGCACATTATTTGTGGAGGCTTGAAGAATAATTTTGATGTAATTTCAGGATCATGTTGACTGTGTCATTTATGGCACAAGTGCTGCCATAGCCAATTACCTTGGAAGAAATTCTGGTGGTGGAGCAAAATTGGACAACACCAGGGCCAGATTGTCCCTGGAGGCATCTACCAAAATGAGAACAGATACAGGGATTCCAGGTTTACTCGAATTTGTCTTCATAAAAGTATGGGATTTTCCAGAGCCTTTTATTTTTTTCCCAGGTCTCTACTTGACTGGGGAAGATACGTTGATCAATTCAGTGCTTTTCAGCTCCATGTCTGGGGCTCTCACAGCATCAGCCATACTTGAAAGGAATCTTGTGGCTGAGGCATTTGCAATGAAAGCTTGGAATGATGTTAACAAGTTCTTTGGAGGGGGGAAATAAATTCTGTGCTTGATAATGAAGGCAGGATGAAAATGCCAGAAATTGACTCTCTTTTTCACCAGTGGACTTGAAATCAGAACCTTCAAAACCCAACCTGATGCTCTGAAATGAATGAAGATACTGTACTTGGTTACTTAAATTATGAGAACAATAACTATGAAATATCATTGCACAGCACTTGGAGTACGTACTGACACATGCACAGATATAAACAAAATTTTGTGTGTGTGGGGGAAATTTCTCAAATTTTTGGATAATTTGGTATATTGGCACAATCACTGTTGTCATAACATAGTTTCCTAGGCTTTCATTCCATTTTAACCTTACTCTTATATTTATGCCCTAGGACAACTGCTGTTAAATTGTCATAAGCAGGCCATTTTGCTTTGATGAGCAGACCTTTCTAGAAACTGAGAATGACCCTGAACAACCTTTAAAATTCCAGAGCTCATAAGGTGGTCTATGACTGCTATGAGTGAAGAGCCCTGAAGGAATACTCTTGCCTCCTGGAACCATTCTCCTTATGACAGTGTGGCTGTATAGGGTTGAATGGATATATAATGAGGTGTTGACAAATGTGCATGTTCTCCTGTAAATTGAAAAAATGACCATGTTTATTTGTGAAACATCAAATCCTGCATCAGACATATGCTAGAATGAATGAGACTGCTGATTTAATCATCAAGAAAGTGGAATTCTCAGCAGGTGTCCATTGAAATCCACCCATTGCCACTCTGCATTCCATAAAATCCATGCTTGTCAACTTTGGTAACACTGAATGCGTTGCAAATTCCAATCTTGTTGCAAATTGCAGTGTAAAATTTCTTGTTTGGCTGCATCAGTGTCACATAATTATTCACATTGATGAGAAGGCCTTGGATGTAGTTTTGAAACAGTATCCATATTGAGTTTCTTGAAATCATGCAAATGTTCGATACCCAAATTAGATGGAAAAATAAATCGGACCTTTTCATCTTTGCAAGTTGCAAAATTTGTACAATGAGGATAATTTCTGGATGTTAAAGCCTTTGTGTGTATGTGCGTGCTTGCCTTTGAGTGGCTTTTGCAGTAATTTTTTGCATTCTAACAAAATTGCAGTGCATTATTTCACTAATGGCCTTCTGAGATTGCGTGTGAAGGCTTGTGCTTCCATGTCCAGACTAAACTCAGAAGTGGAAATTTGCTTTAATTTACAGCATTGGTCATATACTTTTTGGTAATTTTTTGATTCTTTTGCAGAAAATGTTTGAGAACTGTTCTATGATGTGATCCTCCTCAGAAAATATGCCAGTATAAGTATCATATATGCAGGCATGTTGCTATTTTCCCCCAGTGATTTCCATTTCTTCAAATATTTGAGTTCCATTCCAGCCAACTTGAGGAATAAAAGGCATACAATAATTTTCACATATTTGTGTACAGAATCTTAACAGAAAGAAAGCATAATTTTATTTCAATATCCATTGGTGCAAATATTTCTCAAGGAATAAAAAAAAACAGCAATCCAAACCTATGGGTTAAAAGACAGGAGGAGAAATTGAACTCCAAAGTGAGAATAATGCTCAATGAAAGAGTTGAAGAAGGGTTTTCTCTGAATTCTTCAAATGTGCTCATCGTTTGGTGGGAGATAAAGGAAAATATTTTCCAAGACCATCAATGTGACATTTGTGATCATGTACAGCACTTCTTACACTTGGTGCAGATTCTTTCTGTCTGGTTATAAATTTGGAAACTTCTGGCAAACCAGTATTGCAGGAGTTGTGCTGTAGCATGGAACATTAGTTAGCTTCCCATTAAACATTTGCAAACATTTTTCACTTGAGAGCGCATTAGGTTGACCACCATTCCAGGTCAAATCGGCAGTGGCTTTTGCTGTTCCTGTAGAAAAAAAACATTCACTGAGAAGGAATAGATATATTGCAGCAAGTTCAAAGAAGAAAATTTACACCATTGCAAGACTTTATCTTGCATTAAAATGTAACAGTTGTACCAATTTTTTCTGGAAGAATTTGTCAGAAGAGAAATGTACGTACTCAGAAGAATGAGCAGAGATTACTTTTTACAAAAGTGGTTTTCACAAAATATGATGGAGTTTTGCAGTACAAGTATGCCCAGGAAGATTTTTTGCATATCTTAGGAATAAAGAGTAGACAAATTTGCCAGTGTGCAACCTGCCAAGATAAGCAAAAATGTGTTTGGTTCCCACAAGGAAAGATTGCTACACTTTGGACAACCTATTCACAAGACATAAAAATAGAGTTCTTGTGCCAAAGATTTCTCAACTCACAAACTTTCAACAAGATTTGCAAATTCAATTTTGTTGTAATTTCTCACAGTGTTGCAGTGATGGAGTTGGGTCTGTCTGGTCCTCTGGTCAGCCGCCTTTTTATGCATTTTCCACCCCCTAGTTTCATCAAGGGGCCTGTTGTCAGGAATGTTGAGAACATCCGCTGGATCTCGGTAAATTTGGCCCAACTGTTGAGTGGGCTAATTTATCAGGACATGGCAATTTGGAAAAAAGAGGTTCTTTCCCAAAAATTTGGATTTTTGGGGTGAATAGGGATAAGTTGGAAAAAACCCATGAGAGGAGAATTTGCTTCTTTCAGGCAAATTTGACACTGGTCATTTGCATTTTTTTTCCTGGATGCATGTGCAGCAAGCGTCAAGTTTCCTGTAACTTGGGGTAATTTAGTCCCTCATAAAACTGAGGGACCCCTGTTGTTTTTTTGGGGGGACTATCCCTCTGGGCGGCTTAACTGCTGCCAGATGGTTTTTGCCATTTGTCTTTCAGCGCGCTGATCCACATTGGCTTGCCTCTTTCAGAAATATAATCCTCAAAGTTCCAAACTTTGGGAATGGTCAATAAACCGCTTCAAAAACATGACGCAAGGACCAACTCAGTATAGTAATGCTTCAAAACAGTGCTGCTGTGTTGTATAAATCATAAGTTAAAGGTTCACCCAGGAAAGATGTTATCCACAAGCATGAAGCCCACAGTTTTCTGTTTTATGGTCTGCTTTTTGTGAATTAATTACATGTACAGTGAGACCCCCACATGTTGACACCTCAACATGGGGAAAATTTGACATAGGAACATTTATTTTTCAAAAAAAACTCATTTAAAACGCCCAAAATACAGACACTAACTCAACATTTTAACATGCCGTGTCCCAATAAATTGGCCCACTTGACAGTTGGGACAAATTTACCAGGATCCAACAGAAGTTCTCAACATTGCTGACAACACACCCCCCAGAATAGACAGGGGACAAGAAAATGCATAAAAGCAGATTGACAGGAGGACCAGGGTCATCAGATACACCCAACCCCAACACTGCAACACCCTTTACAAGATTTTGGCAAATATTTGAAATTACACTCTGCGTTGTGTTGAGTTTTGATGCAAGGCAATTACTGTTTTTCTGATTGTGAAAATTTGTACAAAGTGTTACATTTTATCAAAGTGTGAGAACATGTTTGTGATTATCTTTGGCAGGTCGCGCACCTGCAAATTTGCCTACTCTTCATTTCCATCCAAAAAACTGATTGTAATCCCTCCTGGAGCATACACACAAAATTTCTAAAGTACCACTTTTGTAAAAGTACATATTCTCTGCTGAATAATTTGAGTATGTACTTTTCTCTTCTGGGATTTTCCCAGATAAAATCTATACAAAAGTGGTAGCAGAGCGTGTTTCCAACGCCCTCAAAAAGAAGTCTTCTACTGCAAAGGAAATAATACTCACTGTTATTGAATTACATGCCATGAAAATCCCTTTACAAAAAACTTGCCATTTCCAGTATGATAGAGACTCACCATCAGGCAGCACCCAGACATTCAGGGTTTCATTCCATTGGCCAGCAACCCATAAAAAAGCGTATGGCATGAAATACTCGAATCCAAGAAACCCATCAGAGGGTACCACAGGGGGACTCAACATGGCTCCTTCAGCTGCACAAATATCCTGTGCTTCTTGGTATGAATAGGCTTTGGTTGACGGTATCCTGAAATATTGACCTCTTCCCAATTGCAAATACCCAAGTTGTTTCTTGCAGAGTCTTCCGCTAGCAATATAATCGCAGAGAACATCTTCCCAATCGTAGTTCCCCAATTTGTTCAGTGCAGCGCAATACGTCATCCCAGTTGGCAGCCCTGCTCTCCAATACTGGTAGGGGAAAGATTTCTTGTCGTTGCAGGAGAAAAATATCCCTAGAAATTATATACAGGTATAACCCTTGATTTAGTGTCACCCTCAGATAGTGCCACAAATTTCTCTGGTTGAAAAACTGACCAAACTTGAAATAATCGAGGCACATTTTTAGCATTCAGAATGGGATTTCACTGAGGATCACATTGTGAGGGAAAACTGTTTCCTCTACACAAAAGGCGGAAAAGACAGAAGTTTGTTTTTGAAGATTTGGAAAAACCTGAAGAATTTCAAGACAAGACCTTTGCAATCAGCAGAAATGAGAACACAGTTAATCAGCCGGGCTGCGGCCAGGACTTTTGTCCTAGTATAAACTGTTATATTTTTAGCACAGGCAAGACAGTAAAGACAATCAGTTAAAGTACTTTTTGCGAGAAGTTCAACAATTTGTTGTAACTGATTTTGGAATGGGTGATTTTGCACAAGAGCAGATTCTCCGGAGATCCAACTGGGTTTGCAGCAAAATGCAGAGTGACAAACTTGTGGTTTCTAGTTAACCACAACAACTCTCTGGATTAGAAATGAAGGCCAGATTTTGGCCACTTTCATTCTTGCCTTTTTTAGCAGTGAGGAAATGTCCTTGGGTGAGCCTGGGAACCAAACCTGGGTTCGGTTCTCAGGCTCAGGAAAAAATGCGTCAAGAGATTAACTGCTAATTTTGTCTGGCGCCTTAAATTGTTGCAAGAATTACTTGAAGTTTGAATTTTTTCCTGACACACATGTCCACTGTGAAAAAACCTCTGAATTAGTTTGAAGAATCTATTTTTGGTTAGAATTGTTGGAAATACCTTTGTATTGCATGATTTCTTCCTCTAGTAAAAAAATCAACAAAAA